AGGTAAAAATAATGGGAAGCGAGATAAGTTAGACAAAGAATAATGTATTCAGAGTTTTTATTAGATCACCTGTGGGCTGGGGATGTATGAGGCTAAAGACAGAGTGAAAAGAAATAGTAGGTTTTCTTACACATTAGTCCTTTATCGTGTGTTCAAGGCCAGCCCGGATATTAACTTGTCGCCTGCTGTTAAAAAATATTCCATGATTAAAGGAACCGCGTGAGGGTTGTAAAGAACCCCTCCCCCCTCCCCATGTGTCTCCTAATGTATATGGTAATACTGTACGTCTGTATGTCTGGAAATCAGCATAGGGGAGTGGCGAAGGTGACGGGAGTTGCGTGACGCGCTACTCAGGAAACTGTGGAATTAGGTGCTATCAGGCGTTCTCGTGCATTTTTAGATCTTATACATTAATAGCAAGTTTGGGGGCAGAACTCTGTTTTTTTTCAGGAATTTGTCATAGTTGACACAGGTAACACAGTATCTAGATAATATACGTGGTTACCGGCAATTCTGCTCTGTGATTTTCATATTGGAGTGTTCAATATGTGTATAAGTGCAGTGTGCATGTTCATGGCAACACAATTATGTTCAGTAATCCACGGTGACATACAGTCGTTACACACACACAAGCGGACACACACACAAAAGTCGTGGTAGTGTTAAGAATACACAGTAACACCATTACCGTGACACATGTGAAACTTTCCACACATTAGTTTATGACTTATACGAGTACACTTATTTCCTGTCACAGTATGGTCATCACTCTACAGATACTATAACTGGTGTAGGTATACGTTGAACATTTAAAGTCATGTTTTGAATAGATGTGAAGACATTGTATAAAATGCATCGTTGGCTTTCCTGTAACTTGTGATCCCGAGGTGTTTGGAGAATGCAGGTCACGGGGAGTCACGCACCCTGCCAATCCTCGTGTCCCGGACCAAATGAGCTTATGTTTTTGTAACGGGTCTTTGGTCCTGACCCCAATATTTCCGATTTACGTTGTATTAATTTTTCACTCACTTGATCTCTAGATTTTCGTTTTTATAGTGATTTACAGTTTTCTCGGTTGATACAAATCCAACATGAATCAAGCTCAGTCATTAACACTGGTAGCCTAGTATGGATAATGTATTTCTATATGTTCGTTTCATTTTACTTTGTAGTTTAGCGTAATACTAACTTCACGGGGGGATCAATACCAGCGCATGACTTATCCTCATAAATGCAGACAGTTATCACATGCTTCCATTTTTCATTGTTTTTTCTTAATTAGCAAATAATCACTCTATAATTGATATTAGACGACATCACGTAGGAAAGTGGCGGCGATGCTAGTTTGTACCAAGACACCACACTCGCTAACCTCAGTAGATAGATAGATAGATAGATAGATAGATAGATAGATAGATAGATAGATAGATAGATAGAAGTTTATTCAATAATTAGTCATACATGTTTTCATTAATTCAGCATGTATATAGACAATGCAGGCACACAATATACACATACAGTCGCGTGTGTTGTGTGAACCAAGTCTTACAGATTCACAAGATCCCGACGTTAAATTTTTATACTAAAATGGAGATACGAAAACCTTTTGGCTCGCTACTATGAGAAACATTATTAGAGGTGTGTTATAAGTGGTGGTATGTTACACCTTGAAGTCTAAAAGATTGATTTATTAACTTCTGGAGATGGGTGCTCTGACATTAATGTTTATACCTGATAACCCAGTAAGGTTGTGGCCAGCGTGAACGACTACTGACACTGATGACTTTGGTTCCTTAACTTCGTAAGTATATCCTACGATGATATCACAGAGGGGTGGGTGGTTGTTGCTGTAACTGACATCCTGCCAGGGAGAGGGCGTGTCTCGGGCAAGTCTGTAGCACACCGAACCTTTGTAGACATTATAGCTATATTGCTTTTCCATAATGGTGAATATGATTTTAATTCACCTATAATGCGGATATATTCATTACTAGTTATAAGTTGATAACCCGAGGATTTCATACGTTAACCATTTAACTGTAGAAAGATTTGAAGGCTGTGTGGCAAACCAGACGATTCCCACGTAAAAATTTCTTGGATGAAATAAGAAAACACAATTGTTGGTATTATCATTGTTTGTGTTGCTTACTTACTGTCACAATCTGTTGTTTACTTACTGTCATAATCTGCTGTTTGTTTACATATCTTGATCCTTTGTTGACACAGGAGAGCTGGAAAAGAGGTGAGTTACTTGAATAAAAAAACGGGATCTAAGTCAAAATCGAGGTGACAAGTACACTAAGTTACAAGAACCAGGAGTAACATTTCTGAATGTTGATAAAAGGATTATTATTCAACTAAGGAATATAATGGAGATTCACCTAGTCATTGGATAGATCAGGTTATTTACTCCAAACCTTTCCTCCAAATGTCAGCGTAATTAAACCAAAAAAATGTAACGCGGAAATAATAACATAATGACGCTACTGACAAATGCTAAACAAACTATTTTCTTTGTTTCATAGACAATTTCCAGGTAGTCTGTTGTATAAACGCCGTTAGGTGTATTTACCTGCTATTATTAAGGACGCCAGTATTACCACAATAACAAGTGTTGTGTTCTGGGTATTTTTAACGCTACTGAAAGATACTATTTGTATTTTTTTCCTTTCCATTTGAATTGGTGGTTTATGCTACAGTAGCTTTTCCTATATATGTCTTCATTCATTTTTCTATTTTTTTTATTCAGAGTCGTGTAATAATAATAATAATAATAATAATAATAATAATAATAATAATAATAATAATAATTAGGAAATTTGACCAAGGATAGCCGACAAAACTACAGGACGGTTATTTCCAGTGGGATCATGTCGACTCACAGGAGAGGTTCGGTTCACCAACTAGATGTTAATAACTCCTTGACTGCCTGGGTCAATCTAAGTTCACTGTGGCTTACTTTCAAAACAACATATCATTATTATTATCTCCAGTAAGTCACATGAGCTTAGGAGAACCAGATAAATTCACACTTGTAGTTAGACTGACCAGGGCAAGAGATTTAAGACTGCTTAACTTGCGAAGTTTCTCTAAGATCACTAACATTTGATGGTAGGAGAAAACCTGTTATTGTCTACACTCACGATGCACATGTTGGTGTACTGTATATCATTAATGCCGCTTAGTATAATGTTTTCTTTTATATCATTGTACATAATATGTGTAATTTTAGACGCTCGAGTTTATGGATTCGCTGCTTGAAATTACGTTGACAAATTTTCTGTTGCGGTCAGGATCAGTCTTACCCACAGCTCATTACTTATTATAAATATCTTACCAACTCCACTACATTAGAATTCTTTCCACCCTCTCCAACTAGTGATATATAACACAGATGGTTTATGCTTAGAGTGTGTATAAAGTGGGTGTATTGATTTGATTCGTACCGTCTGTCTGGCTGGGTTACTGTCGTCCCAAGTTTCAGCAAATTAAGCAAAATTTATTTACCTTTGAATAGTGAAATTTTGGAGGTGCTTTTATATACATCTTTGGAATATATGAATAGTTTCTTTGAAGTACTGACTGATGTGTGCACTAGTAGGGGTGTTTTATATTTGTAATACTAGTTGAATACTGAATACATTTTGCCATAGATTTGTGCCTTGATTCTGGCGTGTGACGTTTGACTTCGGCAGATTGAATTGTAACTTGTGACTGTTTTCAATATCGTTTCAAGAACACCCTGTGCGTTCTTTATACCCACATAGTCAGATCCATTCTTTCTGTACGCCATATTAACGTTATAAGATCCTTTCTGCTTTTAAACATACAACAACCATCTGCAAATTAGGGTAAAGTTAAGCTCAGTACATTAAATGCTACCACACGTAATAAGTGGTTCCTTTCTAAATAGTGTGTGTGTGTGTGTGTGTGTGTGTGTGTGTGTGTGTAGCGTGTGTGTGTGTAGCCTAGTGCACTGTAACTGTAACTCTCTCTCTCTCTCTCTCTCTCTCTCTCGACGTGGATTCCTTTCGTATTTCTTATTAACCAAACTTATTTTGGTGTCGTGCAATTATGTAGAATTATTCTATTCTTACTTTCACGACCATTTTCTTCGTTCCATAATATCAACCCCGGACTTTGTAACATGATATCAGCCACGGACGTTGTAACATGATAACAGCCACGGACGTTGTAACATGATAACAGCTACGGATGTTTTAGCATGATAACAGCCATGAACGTTTTAACTTTAAAACAGACACGGACGTTGTAACATGATATCAGCCACGGACGTTGTAACATGATAACAGCCACGGACGTTGTAACATGATAACAGCTACGGATGTTTTAGCATGATAACAGCCATGAACGTTTTAACTTTAAAACAGACACGGACGTTGTAACATGATAGCAGCCACGGACGTTGTAACATGATAACAGCCGCGGACGTTGTAACATGATAACAGCTACGGATGTTTTAGCATGATAACAGCCATGAACGTTTTAACTTTAAAACAGACACGGACGTTGTAACATGATAACAGTCACGGACTTTGTAAAATGTTAACAGCCACGGACGTTGTAACATAACAGCCACGGACGTTGTAACAAGACTCGACTCCCTCCTGTGTTACGGTACCATTGTGTTCCACCCTCGGCCAGCACACCGCTACCTCCTTCCCTCTTATTTACCTTCTGTTGTCAATGGTCAGTTGACAGTTACTCAATCATGCAAAAACGAGTGTGTGTGTGTGTGTGTGTGTGTGTGTGTGTGTGTGTGTGTGTGTGTGTGTGTGATAGACCCCTCCTTCCCTCTCCCATTCCTCACGCTTTGTGATATTCACTTGTACAGCTGTTCTTATTGTCCTCTTCCACTTGTACAGCTGTTCTTATTGTCCTCTTCCACTTGTACAGCTGTTCTTATTGTCCTCTTCCACTTGTACAGCTGTTCTTATTGACCTACACCACCTGTACAGCTGTTCTTACTACTCCCGCAGAACGACAAGACTCTATCTCTGAACGTGAACGGCGGGCGGGTATTCAAGACATCGGACCGCCACCGTGCACGCCCTTCGACTCACGTTTACGCCAGCAACAACAAGTTTATCAGTAGCAGCAGCGGCAGCAGCAACAGCGCCAAGTCGATCTACCACCAGGGCCCGGTAGCCGTCCCACACCATGACCTGCAGATGACACCTCTCACCGTGCCCCTTCTCCCTCACGTACCCCCTCGCCCTATCCTCACCCAGCGCACGCCCACGCCTCTTAGGTCAGTACACCCTCAATCTATAGCTTACGTACCGGTAATAATTGTTCTGTAGAGTTAGGAGGTTTTTATGCTTAATCAAAGAGAAGGGTGGAATAGTTTATCCTTGAATATTATACCAACACTGTCACAAAGATAATAATCGAGTATAATCTGGAGGGGAATATTTATAATTGGTTCAGGGTTGTCTAAAGCCGTCTGTATGTTTTGTTTATCCCGATGAAGAGTTTCCTCCGTTCAGTGATTTAAGAATAAGTTAAGAATGTTGTAGTAGGTCGATATGAAGTTAGTCTAGTGTTGCTTTATGTCAGTGTTATGTAGTGTGTGATCGATAACCAGCACCGTTCACCTTTAGAGCTGTCCTTAGTGTGTTTACGACGGCAAATGTTACATCCTACGGGTAATTAAGACTAGGTGGGTGATGATTATGTGTGCGTGTATTCCCCTTCAGGTCTTCGCGTGTGTACTCCGGGCGGCGCACATCCCCAGGCCGCCCTTACGCCCACACTCATGGTCAGGCTCAGTTGGCCGCCCAAATACAGCTGCTGAGACCCAATAACACGCCCGTGTCTGTAGAGAAGGTTGACCTCGACAGGTAGGTGGCGCCCCTGCTAGTTCTCCGGTCATGTGTTTTTTTTTTGTCATTATAAAGTATTGCTAAATAATTTCTTCTGTATAATCAACTTCTCATCATTATATCGTGTTAGTCAGTCAGTCTTTGTATGTCAGTCAGTCAGTCTCAGTATGTCAGTCAGTCTTTGTGTATCAGTCAGTCAGTCTCAGTATGATAGTCAGTCTTTATGTCAGTCAGTCAGTCTCAATATGTCAGTCAGTCTTTGTGTGTCATTCAGTCTCAGTGTCTAGACAAAATAAAAATAAATAATAAACACCAAAGACCTCGGTATAACGCGACCTCTTCACCCTTTTAACTGTCTTCACCACCAACACCATCCTTATCTGATTGTCACCTCAGCGTTATTAATTACGGTGAGAGACAGGGAGTGAGAGAGAACGAAGGTACAAAGACAAAAGGTCAAGATAGATGGAGAGAAAGTAATGACAAGGAAAAGGTGTAGAAGGAAAGACGAAAGGGGAATGGGATAAGGAAGAGAAGAGAATGAGAGCGAGGAAGAAAAGATTGAAGACAGAGAAGGAGAAAGTGTGTGTGTGTGTGTGTGTGTGTGTGTGTGTGTGTGTGTGTGTTTGTTTTATATAGAATAACCTTTATGTTAACCCGTGAACAATTGGAATAAAGTGGGGTAATTAAGACCACATCTCTCGTGCACTTAACGCCAGAATTCAGTGACTGGCGACAAGCACCCACGTCTCAAGAGGTCTGCAGAGGTTGAATACACATGATTGTATATTAATTAGTCAAAACAATGAAGGATTCGTGTGTAAAACTGTCAAAACGTAAAAAAAAAAAATGAAAAAAAAAAAGAACTCGGGGTTAAAATATAGGGCAAAAATATCTTGGCGTCATGATGTGTTGTGACGGACTGGCTGTAGTCGTGGCCTGTTTACTTTGACGTCACTATCAGCTGGTCTCATTATCCCAGCTGACACAAACCTCAGCCACACGTCAGCCTACTGCACCGCCTTTCTCATTATCATGTCATATAATATCGGGTTTTCATACGGGATGGGACTCATGGTCTTAAAAAAAAAAAAAAATTCACGATTTTATATAATGATAAATGTTGTGTCTTGGAGTGCGACTGTATATATCTGGACATACCATCAAAAAATAATAATACTTCACATTTTAATTTTTTTTTCTCGGTAATTAGTAGTTTCTTTCGTATTACGTTTTTATTTGTTTGCGTCTTTTTTTGCTTCATGGTTGCGTCAAAGTCTAAGGGTTTATTTAGAGTGTACGCAGCTTGATCATGACGGACACCTGATCTAGTCTCATTCTTGTGACTTTTTTAATGCATTTTGTGTGACGTTTTGTGTTGTAGGTCAGGAGGTAAATTGTTGTAGGTGAGGAGGTAAATTGTTGTAGATGAGGAGGTAAATTGTTGTAGATGAGGAGGTAAATTGTTGTAGATGAGGAGGTAAATTGTTGTAGGTCAGGAGGTAAATAGTTGTAGGTGAAGTGTCAGGAGGTAAATTGTTGTAGGTCAGGAGGTAAATTGTTGTAGATGAGGAGGTAAATTGTTGTAGGTCAGGAGGTAAATTGTTGTAGGTCAGGAGGTAAATTGTTGTAGATGAGGAGGTAAATTGTTGTAGGTCAGGAGGTAAATAGTTGTAGGTGAAGTGAATGTCTAGGTGAGGAGGTAATTTCTAGGTGAATAGGTAATGAAGACTAGGTGACACAGTGCTACTATGGCCAACAAGAGTATATAGAATCCAGGTTTATTTATAACACAGAAATAACTGACCAAAGAAATAACAGAGCATATATATAGTGGCCCCAGATGATGATGAATAAATTGAAATGAATGTTTGTAAATATCATGGTGGAATAAATCTACTGAACTGAAGGGGAAGTGTTTGAGTATTTGGTTCAAGTTTTTGCTTTTAAGGGCGTATGTTAATAGCTATCTGGAGGGGGAGGTGGAGAATTTTATGTGTGTGGGTATGTGTGGAGAGTTTATTGGGTTAGATAATTAAAAAAGTTTGTGTGGTAGAAAAGTTATGTTGGGAGCAATGATGAGGTTAGTTAGTTAGTTAGGTAGATGTCCGTTATATATGAAACCTCTTAACGGACGATATGTGAGAGGTTAGTCCGTTATATATGAAACCTCCATCTAACGGACCATGAAAGAGGTTAGTCCCTCATATTAAAGTCCGTTATATATGAAACCTCCATCTAACGGACCATGCAAGAGGTTAGTCCCTTATATTAAAGTCCGTTATATATGAAACCTCCATCTAACGGACCATGAAAGAGGTTAGTCCCTTATATTAAAGTCCGTTATATATGAAACCTCCATCTAACGGACCATGCAAGAGGTTAGTCCCTTATATTAAAGTCCGTTATATATGAAACCTCCATCTAACGGACCATGCAAGAGGTTATTCCCTTATATGGAGGTTTCACTATATACGTATCTTACTCAACTCTCGTGTATGTGTTTCCCTCAAGTCTAACTCGCTCGATATCTCCACCTGTCCTTAATCCTCTCCTCACAATCATCGGATCAGGACCATTATTAACATCATCTGAGTTTTGGGAGGAACAGTGTCCTTCATGAGCTTTAAGACTGGCTGACTGTCTCTCTCTCTCTCTCTCGTTCTCTCGTTCTCTCGTTCCTTTGTTCTCTCTCTCTCTCTCTCTCTCTCTCTCTCTCTCTCTCTCTCTCTCTCTCTCTCTCTCTCTCTCTCTCTCTCTCTCTCTCTTCTCTCGTTCCTTTCCCTTTCTTTCTTTTATTCTCTCTCTCTCTCTCTCTCTCTCTCTCTCTCTCTCTCTCTCTCTCTCTCTCTCTCTCTCTCTCTGTCTCATTTACTCGGGAGGATAAATCTTGAACACGACAACACTAGTGATTACATAACAGTGTGGGAACTCTTTTCTTGGGGCGGAACAAGAGGACATATTACAGTCCCATCAGCCTCACAGTTGACCCTAAGATAGTCTATGTGACGTTGTGTGTTCACGGTCCAGGGTTTGTTAGTTTAGACCCCTCCATCAAGCCAGGAGGTCGGTTATATAAAAAGATATCTGCTACCCACACGAAAGGAACCGATTAATATAGGAAGGGTCACGAATTGGTTAAAACTTTATAGTACAGTATTGACATAAAGGCAATTTACTTTTTCTTTGGTGTAGATACATGTGTGTGTGTGTGTGTGTGTGTGTGTGTGTGTGTGTGTGTGTGTGTGTGTGTTTACCCCAAGAGAAACCCATGCCATGTAAGTTACCCGCCCAGACCAGTTGTAAACTTGAGGATAAACCAGACCAGGTCAAGGGGGGGAGCAAAAAAATTACACCTCGTGAAATTGTTTATCGAATTCAAGGGACTAGTGGAGGTAATGCAGAGAGAAAGCGCTCAGGTAATGTAAAGGAAGATTGAGACTTAATAACAGGGAGTAGCGCAGTTGTTTCGAGAATATATGGTTTAGAATTTAGATGATATAAGTGTTGTGTTTTAGATCAGTAGGTGGGGTGGGTGGGATGGGTGGAGGATGGAATGGGGGTGGTGGGTGGAGAATGGAGGGGTGGGGGTGGGGGGTGGGGGTGGGAGGGATGGAGGATGGAATGGGGTGGTGGGTGGAGAATGGAGGGTGGGGGGTGGGGGTGGGTGGGATGGGTGGTGGTGGGTGGAGAATGGAGGTGGGGGGTGGGGGTGGGGGTGGGAGGGATGGAGGATGGAATGGGTGGTGGTGGGTGGAGAATGGAGGGGTGGGGGGGGTGGTTAGGGGTAATAACACTCTGAAAGAAATTGTTAAAAATTATTATCGATAATTAGTGATATTTATGGTAACTCATATTATGAAATAGGTGACATCGACGATTCAAGTAGTTCATTAAAGGTCTGGTGAGGTCATTGGTGTGGCTCAGGTCATGTGGGGTCCAGTTGGTAATTTCTCAACCCCTTTTTATTACAGGTGAGAACAGGTAAGGTCGTGTCCTTCAAGGCAGGTGTACTGAATCACGGGACGCGAGGAGGAGGGTGAGGGAGGGGAGGGAAGAGAGAGGAAGGGAGAAGAGGGAATGGAAAGAAGGGAATGTAAGGGGAAAGGAGAGGAAGGGAAGGATGGAGTGGGGAGAAGAGAGAGGATGATGACTAGGGTGAGAGAAGAAAGGAGAGGAAGGAAGGTGGTAGAGGTAGGAAGTAGTTGACTTACTCAGAACCAATTACTCCAAACCTAACCTAACCTAACCTAACCTAACCTAACCTAACCCTAACCTAAACAACGCAGGACCTTTAAAGCGAAAAAACAAAACTAACACAGGGTACTTGACTTTTAGGGGGGAGGAGGAGGAGGGAGGGTGGTGAGGGAAACAGGGAGAGTGAGGTCAGGGAGGTCAGGGATAGAGGGTGATAAAGAAGACAGATGATATATAGTTATTGGGTCATTTCCTCTAATTAGGGCCATGTAAGGTGATGCGGGTTGTTTACTGCTCCTCCTACTGTTGTTGTTGTTTTTGTTTTTAGGAGTTTTTAAATTTGTTCAAAGATGAGCGTCCGTGTGTGTGTGTGTGTGTGTGTGTGTGTGTGTGTGTGTGTGTGTGTGTGTGTGTGTGTGTGTGTGCGTGTGTGTGTGTGTGTGTGTGTGTGTGTGTGTGTGTGTGTGTGTGTGTGTGTGTGTGTGTGTGTAATAATAATAATAATAATAATAATAATAATAAATAATAATAATAATAATAATAATAATAATAATAATAAACGGTTTATGAATAGAGTTGCAGCCGGTGGCTGAAAATATACAGACTTACATATGATTTAGACATAATGATATAATATGCATTGAATACATTTACAGGGCTGTACAGTACATAAATCAGGAGTTGTTTATTATTTTAACAATAGATGGGATGGTGCTGTTCTTATATCTATCGGTGCGGGCTCTTATGGGCTGAATTTTGTTGTAATGGCGGACTGCGCGAGTTGGGTGGGGGGCTGCAGGTGGCAGGAGGTGGCGATGACG